CAATAATAGGTCGTTTGAAAGGATTCCTTTTCGATCGCCTCGTAGAAGAGCGCATACTTTGCAAGAGCGTTGCCGGCGCTTTTGGGTGCCTGAAACGGTGACCCAGTCGTCGAACTGGATGTGTTTGTGACCGTCTAGTCGGCGGCGCTTGCGAGAGCGAGCCATAGGAGAAGGTGTAGGAGCAGTAGCTTCAATGAAGTCGTCGGCTTTGAGCTGCATCAATTGCTTATGAAGTAGAAGATACCATTCTCCACGATCTTTTGGTACCAGCCTCTTGATCCGGCATGTTTCCTTGTGTGTGAGATACGCATTGACGAGTGCCATGTCCATGAAACCCATGAACAGTGACTTGTAATACTTCCTGAAACGGAAAGCCGTTTGGATTGAATAGGACTGCAGGCGAAGTTGATCATGTACATCAACTCCGCCCATCCAGCGTTGGTAATCAGTAACTAACTTTGGGCATTTGACGCAAGACGGCCCGACCATCTTGACGTTACGACGAATAGAGTCCTCTGCCATGACCGGACCCGTGGCCAGGTAGTGGACCGGCTTTCGGTCCCACCAGTGGCAAGCTATCATGGTCGGTATAGCAGTGGAGCGATTTGTCTCCTTGGTGATGGTAACCCACAGTGATTTTGGTAGGAAGTAAAATAGAAGCAGCAAGGGAGAATCCGCAATGTCCTGTAGCTCCCTGATCGGTACGGCGACGTCCGTAGACAGGCGAGGGTACCCTCCACTGTCAGCTTCGAAGATGGACGAAGGAGGACTCCATTCAAAGCTCCGGAGTGCGGCCTTGTCGATCGACTCCAGTGTTAATTTGCCACCTAACGCCTCGACAAATGCGTCGTCCATCAGAGCAACGTCTTCATCGTCCTCAAGTGTGTCGTCGGGGTACTCACGCCTTACGATGATATCGTCGCCACTATTGTCGCTGCTGTCGCTGCCACTAGAATCGACGGCCTCGTATTCATCCGAAAGATCTCCATCGCCCATAACATTCACGTCGGTTACCGGCAGTGCCACACGGCAGTCATCCTCCACAGTCTCACCTCCACACACACTTGCGCCTTCCTCCTCCACACTGGCGCAACCATCATCGTTGTCGTCCGAATTGCTCGACTCGGCGCCTGCCAGGAGCCGCTGGAACGCCCCCACGACCATCTCTCGATCCGACTGCTCCAACTGATCCTCCGCTTCCGACTGGGGGTCACTGTCCGTGCCAAACATCGCCGATAAGGTGTTTGCCGACAGCGCGATGGATGTGTCTATCTGTGACGCCGTCACTGTAACGTCCACCGGCACGACCTCATCACTGCCCACCTCCCTCTCACTGTCGCCACTCTCTTCAGCAATAAGCCCATCTCGATTGCATAAGCCACCACAGCATCCTCCCCTAGACAAGTGATATAAATTAGACAAATGAAGCACATAACCATATACGAGCTTCGCACGAGTGAGCGACTTCCCGTCCGGCGACGTGTACGTCCACTCCTTCGCAAGTCCACCGGAAGGTCTCTTCGACGTCCATCCCACTGCACGTAGCTGCCGCCAGAGATGCTTGAAGTCGATGGCACGCACGTCCATCGTGCTGGCAACTGCTGATTGCTTCGTCCGCGTACTTGATCGAACTCTCGCCATAGTGGCAAGTTCTTGAATGAGACACCAGTGGCTCGAGTCGGCGCTCTCGGCCACTCATCATTCTGTTCGGTGCAGCACATCTACCCTTCCCCCACCCTTTCTTTTACATTTGCCGAATCGACCTCTTTCAGCTTATATAATTTGCCTTCAAACTTTGACTTGGTTAAAGTATCGTGTCCTCTTTTTTCGAGCCATTTTCTGTTTGAAGGCTCGAATTACGTCGTAAGTTACGACTTTCGCCCTACTCAAAGTCGTAACTTACGACGTTGGTAACAGAGGGGTTAACATACGAGCTAAGCCCGCCTCTGGTGCAGGTTCGTTCTTCTCCACAAAGGGGATCATACGCTGTAATTTCCGAAAATTACGTGCATACTCACGCACGGTCACCGTGCGGGTCTAATTCAGCTGCATCAGCTCGTCGATGATTAAGGCCCGAGTTCCAGGTGGGTAGTGGACGCTAGTCGACCGACGCAAGGCTGTGACTCACAGCCTTTCACAGTGTGAGAGCAACATTGTTGTCCGTCAATTGCTCTTCAGCAACGATCTCGTTGAACATTAGCAAGTCGTCATCTCGTAGTAGCATCTGGATATCTTCAACAAATCCCGGTTGATCTTCTTCGCTGTGGCCGTACCCCATAAACACAAAGTACACTGACAGCAGCAATAACCAGTCCAGCGATCCTTTCAGTCACCGTCGCGAAACACGGGGACTTGTTTCCTCACTACGCTGCCGTTGCTCTTAACTTTCTCGAACACCACTTGCTCGGGCATCTTGGCGTGTCTGTAGAGGGCTGAAGGGTTCAGTAGCTTTACGCTACGTTTTGCTTGGTAAAATGAAAACTGAGTAGATTTGGTCGACGAGCCTGAATCTCGGAGTTAATGTGAGCACTATCCCGTACTCACCACTTTGATCGCCATCGTGAACGTCGTTTAGAGTATCGTCCTTCTTGTCAAGTAGCTCTGAGCTCATGTTATGATCTTCACTGTCTTCTTCCTATCTGTAGCAAGATTCAATACAGCAACCGTTGTTAGTTTCTGATATCAGCAAATAAATCATCATAACATGCAACTTAGCAAAACGGTTTAGAATTCACCTCCGATGCAGCGTAAGATGCAGCATACCAGGTTCGTAGTCGCTAGCGTAATCGGCAGATTCCTCGCATTCGTCGTGCAGCAGTGCTTCGTAGCAATTGGGCCATATAATTGGCTAGGGGCCTTCAGTCTATTACAGTTGCCGACGCAGTAGAACAGCATACGA